CCAGAGAAAAGGTCTGTTAGTATTAATGTATGTATAAATGATATTACAATGGGCAGAAACAACAGCTGTGACCAGATCCAAACAACCGCCTGATCGATGTTTATAAACAATGTTACTTTGTATCTCTCCAGTCTGATCGATGTTTATAAACAATGTTACTTTGTATCTCTCTATCTCCCGTCTGATCGATGTTTATAAACAATGTTACTTTGTATCTCTCTATCTCCCGTCTGATCGATGTTTATAAACAATGTTACTTTGTATCTTTCTATCTCCCATCTGATCGATGTTTATAAACAATGTTACTTTGTATCTTTCTATCTCCCATCTGATCGATGTTTATAAACATGTTACTTTGTATCTTTCTATCTCCCGTCTGATCGATGTTTATAAACAATGTTACTTTGTATCTCTCTATCTCCCGTCTGATCGATGTTTATAAACAATGTTACTTTGTATCTTTCTATCTCCCATCTGATCGATGTTTATAAACAATGTTACTTTGTATCTCTATCTCCCGTCTGATCGATGTTTATAAATAATGTTACTTTGTATCTTTCTATCTCCCATCTGATCGATGTTTATAAAACATGTTACTTTGTATCTCTCCATCTCCCGTCTGATCGATGTTTGTAAACAATGTTACTTTGTATATCTCTATCTCCCGTTTGATCGGTTTATAAACAATGTTACTTTGTATCTCTCTATCTCCCGTCTGATCGATGTTTGTAAACAATGTTACTTTGTATATCTCTATCTCCCGTTTGATCGGTTTATAAACAATGTTACTTTGTATCTCTCTATCCCCCGTCTGATCGATGTTTTATAAACAATGTTACTTTGTATCTCTTTATCTCCCGTCTGATCGATGTTTATAAACAATGTTACTTTGTATCTCTATCTCCCGTCTGATCGATGTTTATAAACAATGTTACTTTGTATCTCTCTATCCCCCGTCTGATCGATGTTTATAAACAATGTTACTTTGTATCTCTTTATCTCCCGTCTGATCGATGTTTATAAACAATGTTACTTTGTATCTCTCCATCTCCCGTCTGATCGATGTTTATAAACAATGTTACTTTGTATCTCTATCTCCCGTCTGATCGATGTTTATAAACAATGTTACTTTGTATCTCTCTATCCCCCGTCTGATCGATGTTTATAAACAATGTTACTTTGTATCTCTCCATCTCCCGTCTGATCGGTTTATAAACAATGTTACTTTGTATCTCTCCATCTCCCGTCTGATCGATGTTTATAAACAGTGTTACTTTGTATCTCTCCATCTCCCGTCTGATCGATGTTTATAAACAATGTTACTTTGTATCTCTATCTCCCGTCTGATCGATGTTTATAAACAATGTTACTTTGTATCTCTCCATCTCCCGTCTGATCGATGTTTATAAACAATGTTACTTTGTATCTCTCCATCTCCCGTCTGATCGATGTTTGTAAACAATGTTACTTTGTATCTCTCCATCTCCCGTCTGATCGATGTTTATAAACAATGTTACTTTGTATCTCTCCATCTCCCGTCTGATCGATGTTTATAAACAATGTTACTTTGTATCTCTCCATCTCCCGTCTGATCGATGTTTATAAACAATGTTACTTTGTATCTCTCCATCTCCCGTCTGATCGATGTTTATAAACAATGTTACTTTGTATCTCTCTATCTCCCGTCTGATCGATGTTTATAAACAATGTTACTTTGTATCTCTATCTCCCGTCTGATCGATGTTTATAAACAATGTTACTTTGTATCTCTCTATCTCCCGTCTGATCGATGTTTATAAATAATGTTACTTTGTATCTCTCTATGGACCCTGAGTGATCCTGTACATTGTAAGTTGTAGAATGAGGAGGTGGCATTTCCTCAGTCTCCCCTCCCCCAGTGATGGGGGAGGAGACTGAGGAAACGCCTTCTCCTACTTCTACAAAGTTACAATGTACAGTCTGATCACTGGGGGAGGGGACTGAGGAAATGTTCCTCCCCCTGGTGATCAGACTGTACATTGTAACTTTGTAGCAGGTCACGAGGTGAGAGGCTGCAGCAGAGGCTTATCTGTGTCAGACATTTGTGAACACAGCCAAAAACTGCACAGGGCACCAGGATTTACATGGTGGAGTCACCTCTGAGGTAGGTTCACTTTTTTTTCCCCCCAAATCCCATCCTTCCGGGCTTGTTGGGACATGCTGAGTTTGGACAGATTTTCAGGTCTGACATCTTGCCATCCTCCCGGACTCTGGAGCATTAATCCCATTAATCAATGTTATGTAAGTGATGTGTGAAGCCCATTGTTCCAGCACCTGGCCTTCCTATGGACGTCATGCCCCCCCCCCCCCCCCCCCCGGACATATCGGGTGTCCCCGGGCCCCCTGCTGATTGGCAGCCGCTCAGATTTGGCTTGCCTGGTGCTCGGCACACGCAGAACATTGGCACGGGAAGCTGCTCCGAGACACCTGGGCACGGGCCTGCCTCCCGCCTCAGCACAATTCAACCGCAGCAAGTACAACAACCGCCAGGGATAAATGGAGATCTGTTATTGGCCGGTGGGGGGGGGGGGGGGAGATCACCAAACAAACCGCAGCCAATAAACAAGTGTCACTTACAGGAATCCGAGTCGCCTTCTTTTCCTGAGAGCTAATAGCGCCAGGACGGCGTGCTGATCACACCCTTAAATCTAATCTTTCCATTTTCATGACATACCTTATTTTAGTCCCACTGACATCATCACTGGGTCTCTGCACTTCTCTATGCAATGTGGGCAAATCACGGCTGGTGGGAGTGGCAGGGTTAGGAGGTACTCCTCTCAAGAGTCCTGATGCAAGCAGTGGGAGGGGTTATGCAAATAAGAAAACACAGATGTGGGGGTGTCAGGGATCCTTGGCGGGCTGAATTTGCATGCAGACCACCCTAGGCAGGATCGTTAGAAATCATGGGGCCCCGTACAGCCTAGGTGACAGGGCCCCTTCCTCTTCCCGGTGTTACCCCTGGCAAAGCACATCCCTTACAATGTGCATTTGCGTGCCGCGCCAACTGCTTGGATAGCGGGAGGTGACCCTAAATACACAATAAGTCCAGGTCAGTCAACCAGGGGGGTGAAGAGCCAATCAGGGCGAGGCCAGGAGGTGATATTGCTGCTTCAAAGCTAAACCCAGACCCACGCCCACCACCTATGATCCAATGGGGCCCGGGCCCAGTACAGGGGGGGTTGGCTGTACCTCCCCTATCAGCAGCCCTGACCCTAGGTTATTCCCAAATGTGATGCTGAGCTGCCATGATTGAAAGGGGCGGGGCCAGGGAGAGTCAGGCCAGGGAGGAAAGAGCTAGATGATGCATGTCCTTCAGCTAGGAAATGGGGTGGAGCTCTACACTATATTGCCCCCAGTATTGGGCCGCTGGCCTTTCCACACACATGACCTTTAATGGCCCCCCAGTCTTAGTCCATGGGGTTCAATATTGAGTCGGCCCCACCCTTTCCACGCACATGACCTTTAATGGCCCCCCAGTCTTAGTCCGTAGGGTTCAGTATTGAGTTGGCCCCGCCCTTTCCACGCACATGACCTTTAATGGCCTCCCAGTCTTAGTCCGTAGGGTGTATTGAGTTGGCCCCGTCCTTTCCACCCACATGACCTTAATGGCCCCCCAGTCTTAGTCCGTAGGGTTCAATATTGAGTTGGACCCGCCCTTTCCACGCACATGACCTTTAATGGCCCCCCCAGTCTTAGTCCGTAGGGTTCAATATTGAGTTGGCCCCGCCCTTCCCCCACGCACATGACCTTTAATGGCCCCCCCCAGTCTTAGTCCATAGGGTTCAATATTGAGTTGGCCCCACCCTTCCCACACACATGACCTTTAATGGCCCCCCCAGTCTTAGTCCATAGGGTTCAATATTGAGTTGGCCCCGCCCTTTGCAGCTATAAGAGCTTCAACTCTTCTGGGAAGGCCGTCCACAAGGTTTAGGAGGGTGTCTATGGGAAGGTTGGACCATTCTTCCAGAAGCACATTTGTCAGGTCAGGCACTGATGTCGGGGGAGGGGGCCTGGCTCGCAGTCTCCGCTCTAATTCATCCCAAAGGTGTTCTATGGGGTTGAGGTCAGGACTCTGTGCAGGACAGTCAAGTTCCTCCACCCCAAACTGGCTCCTCCATGTCTTTATATATACCTTGCTTTGTGCGCTGGTGGGCAGTCATGTTGGAACAGGAAGGGGCCATCCCCAAACTCCTCCCACAAAGTTGGAAGCATGAAATTGTCCAAAATTTCGCCTTAAGAGTTCCCTTCACTGGAACTAGGGGGCCAAGCCCAACCCCTGAGGAACACCCCCACCATAATCCCACCTCCACCAAACTTTACACTTGGCACAATGCAGTCAGGCAAGTACCGTTCTCCTGGCCACCGCCAAACCCAGACATGTCCATCGGATTGCTGGACAGGGAAGCGTGATTGGTCCCTCCAGAGAACACGTCTCCTCTGCTCTAGAGTCCAGTGGCGGCGTGCTTTACACCACGGCATCCGACGCTTTGCATTGCACTTGATGATGGAAGGCTTGGATGCAGCTGCTCGGCCATGGAAACCCATTCCATGAAGCTCTCTACGCACTGTTGTTGGGCTCATCTGAAGGCCACACCAAGTTTGGAGGTCTTTAGCTATTGACTCTGCAGACAGTTGGCGACTTCTGCGCACTGTGCGCTTCAGCATGCGCTGACCCCGCCCCCTGTCATGTGACGTGGCCTACCACTTGGTGGCTGAGTGGCTGTTGTTCCCAGTTGCTTCCACTTTGTTATAATCCCACTAACAGTTGAGCGTGGAATATTTAGTAGCCAGGAAATGTCACGGATGGACTTATTGCCCAGGTGGCCACCTATCACGGGACCACGCTTGGAGTCACTGAGCTCCTGAGAGCGACCCATTCTTTCACCAATGTTTGTAGAAGCCGTCTGCATGCCTAGAGGATGGATTGTATATACCTGTGTCCATGGAGGGGATTGGAACACCTGAATCACATGATATGGAGGGGATTGGAACACCTGAATCACATGATATGGAGGGGATTGGAACACCTGAATCACATGATTGGGAGGAGATTGGAACACCTAAATCACATGATATGTAGGGGATTGGAACACCTGAATCACATGATAAGGAGGGGATTGGAACACCTGAATCACATGATATGGAGGGGATTGGAACACCTGAATCCTATGATATGGAGGAGATTGGAACACCTAAATCACATGATATGGAGGAGATTGAACACCTTGATACACACCTGAATCACATGATAAGGAGGGGATTGGAACACCTGAGTCACATGATATAAAGGGGATTGGAACACCTGAGTCACATGATTGGGGGGGACGGGGACAATACATTGTGCAATAGAGTGTATCTGACTGGCTGCAGCATCTAATGTACATTGTGAGACGCTCTCAGTGTGCGGTGATATCAGAGGAAGCCATCGCAGTCCGGGGGCGGAGCCGTACAACTGCAAGAGCGAAGGGGAGGATTTACACTAAACTGTAACAAAGAACTTCTTTTATCTGTATTTACCGAGAACAGAGATAAAAACGATTGTCGGTCAGTTGGCAGCGCACAGTCCTCTTCAGACACGATTGCGACGCTCGGCTTGTATTACATAATAATATATTATCTTCTGTTTGCTGTAAATCACACACAACGCTGCAGATCTTCCTGGAGGGAATGCAACGAACAGATAACGGCAAATACTAAAAGGAACTCGATTGTTCCAACCCTGAAATCCCAATCAAACCGTAAATGACACAGCAGACGGGGGGGGGGGGAGTCCCATACACACCATGACAATCTGCACGCTCGTCTCCACACCGAAAATGAAGAGGTTACTAAAGTTACAAAAATTCCTGTATAACACAATGAAAATTCGAAGGTGATGTCATCTATTTGTATTGTATTCTCGGATGAAAACTTTACTGATTAAACGAAAATCATACGATCCGATGTCATACGAGACAAATGTCTGTGCTTGTCCCTTCAAATCATTTCAGACAAAAAATGTACTAATGATCAGATTATCGGACGATCGATTCGAAAGCAATATTTTGGATCGTGTGTACTAGGCCTAAAGGTACCAAGATGCCATGGCAATGTGCGAGACGTGGACTCCATCGCTGTGGACAAGAGCAGAGCATGCTGGGACAAATTATCCGATGGCACAGACGTTGCTGTACTCCTGTCATTACAAACTTCCAATTTCCATACCAGAATAAGGGATGAAAATGACACTGCCGGAGAAAGGAAAACATAAAGGGAAAGGGAGAGGAAAGGGAGAGAGGAGAAAGAAAGAAAGCAGGGAGGAGAATGGAGGTAGAAAGGAAGAAAGTTAAGAAAAAAAAAGAAGGAATGGGTAAAGTAAAGGGAAAGAAAAAAAGGAAAGAAAAGAGGAGAAAGGAAAGGAAAGGGAAAAGGAAAAAAAGAGAGTAAAAGAGAAAGTAAAAAGAAAGAGAAAGGAATGGAAAAGAAAGGAAAGGGGAAATGATAAGGAAAATATGAGAGGAAAAGAAAGGATAGGAAAGGAAAAGGAAAATAGGAGAGGAAAGGAAAGAGGAAAATGAAAGGAAAGATAGGAGAGGAAAGGAAAGGAGAGATGAAAAAGAAAGGAAATGAAAAGAGGAGAGAAAAAGAAAAAAAGGAAAGGAAAAGGAAAATAGGAGATGAAAGGAAAGGAAGTGAAAAGAAAAATATGAGAGGAAAGGAAAAGGAAATTAGGAAAGGAAAGGAAAGGGGAAAAAGAAAGGGAGAAGGAAAAGGAAAGGAAAGGAAAGGAAAAGGAAAAGGAAAAGGAAAAGGAAAAGGAAAGGAGAGGAAAGGAAAGATAGGAGAGGATAGGAGATAGGAAGGAAATGAAAGGCGATAGGAAAAAGAAAGGAAATGAAAAGAGGAAAGAAAAAGAAAAAAAGGAAAGGAAAATAGGAGCTGAAAGGAAAGGGGAAATGAAAAGAAAAATATGAGAGGAAAGGAAAAGGAAAAGGAAAGGGAAAATTAAAGAAAAGAAAGGGAGAAGGAAAATGAAAGGAAAGGAAAGGAAAAGGAAAGGAAAGGAAAAATAGGAAAGGAAAGGAAAGAGGAAAAGGAAAGGAAAGATAGGAGAGGAAATGAAAGGCGATAGGAAAAAGAAAGGAAATGAAAAGAGGAAAGAAAAAGAAAAAAAGGAAAGGAAAATAGGAGATGAAAGGAAAGGGGAAATGAAAAGGAAAATATGAGAGGAAAGGAAAAGGAAAATTAGGAAAGGAAAGGGGAAAAAAGAAAGGAAGAAGGAAAAGAAAGGAAAATAGGAGAGGAAAGGAAAGGAGAGAGGAAAAAAAAGGAAATGAAAAGAGGAGAGAAAAAGAAAAAAAAAAGAAAAGGAAAATATTAGAGGAAAGGAAAATTAGGAAAAGAAAAATAGGAGAGGAAAAGAAAGGAAAGGGAAAAGGAAAGGAAAGATAGGAGAGGGAAGAAGAAAGGAAAAAGAAAGGAAATTAAAAGAGGAGAGGAAAGGGAACGGGAAATAGGAGAAGACAGGAAAATTAGGAAATTAAAGGAAAAATAGGAGAGGAAAAGAAAAGGAAAGGGAAAAGAAGGAAAAGGAAAGGAAAAAGGAAAGGAAAAAGAAGGAAAAGGAAAAGAAAAAGGAAAGGAAAAAGGAGAACAGCAGAAGAAGGGAACAGGAAAGGGGAAAGGAAATTATTCAAACGCAGTCTTTGCTGATAAGATTTTAAGATTCTCTAAATCCAATTTGTTTTTTGGTTGAATGAATGCAAATCTAAAGGGGATTTTCCACATGTGAAGCAGGACGACTGGCGCAGAGCAGACTGAAATAATGGGAACACGGAGAGGCGGCACTGAGAATGAGGGAAGTACATTTGGTTACAGCCAAGTTTCATCAAAATGAACAAGTAAGTAGTCTAAAAGGGCCAGCAAAGTGTCAGAGACACACCCACTGAGGAAGCCTGCACTCCAATAGAACATGGCTTCCTTTCCTGTCACTCTGTGACCACAGGTAACCTGGAGGAAACAAATGGGGGTCTTGCATTTAATGCCACAAGGACTACTGGGTGAGACTGCCTGTCCTTTGCGACACAAGCACCCAAACATGAAAGTCAATGGTCAATGGAACAGATCTGGTAAGTCTGATGGTCCTTTGGACTACTTTTCCCCTTTCACTTATTTCACCGGACTTACCAAATAACGAGGTCATCAGCAGAGTTAGTCCTCCAGTATTTGTTGCGGCCAGATAGGAAAACACGGGACTCTCCTAGCTGAGCTAACTATTGGCAATTATGCTTCATATGAGCTTGTGTTCATTCACTTGTTTGTTTATTCATTAGGTTATCCATTCATAATTCCGCTGGCTTTGTTCCTTCAATATTCTCTCTACTCTGCTCTTTCTTCTTCTCTTCTACGAGCAATGTCCACCCGCGTCACATGATACAAGTGGCCAGACTGGCTACTAAGGAGCCAGAAGGTATATTCCATAGCTATTAAAGGTCTGAATCCGATACACCTACAAGGCCTGCTAATTACTTTCCTTTCTGAAATGCAATCCTGAGATTTACACCATTATAGATGTTTCTGTCAAAGGCACTAATAAGCTCCTCTGTTAATGAAGAATTAGCGGGTGAATAACTGTCTGGGAATTCCCAGTTGCTGCAATGTGGTAACTAGGTGTTATATTGTGTATATATATAGTGGCAATGACATGAATGGAGTGAGGATTGCCGTCCCTACGCCAAGCACGCCATCCTTTATTTCCAAGAAATTAAGCCATTTTCCAGCTAGACACCGAGGTTCTCATTCTACAAAGTGCTCCAAGTTCTCTACCCCTAGCATGCTATCCTTTATTTCCAAGAACTGAAGCCACTTTCCAGCTAGACACCAAAGTTCTCCTTATTCTACAAAGTGCTCTATGTTCCCTACGCCAAGCACACCATCTGTTATTTCCAAGAACTGAAGCCACTTTCCAGCTAGACACCAAAGTTCTCCTTATTCCAGCTAGATATCCAGGTTCTCATTATTTTTCAAAGTCCTCCAAGTAACCCTACGCCAAGCACGCCATACTTTATTTCCAAGAAATGAAGCCACTTTCCAGCTTGAGATCGAGGTTCTCATTACTCTACAAAGTGCTCCAAGTTCCCTACGCCAAGCACGCCATGCTGTACTTCCAAGAATTAAAGCCACTTTCCAACTTGACATCGAGGTTCTCATTATTCTACAAAGTGCTCCAAGTTCCCCACACCTAGCATGCTATCCTTTATTTCCAAGAACTGAAGCCACTTTCCAGCTAGACACCAAAGTTCTCCTTATTCCAGCTAGATATCCAGGTTCTCATTATTTTTCAAAGTCCTCCAAGTAACCCTACGCCAAGCACTCCATGCTTTATTTCCAAGAAATGAAGCCACTTTCCAGCTTGAGATCGAGGTTCTCATTACTCTACAAAGTGCTCCAAATTCTCTACGACAAGCACGCCACCGGTTATTTCCAAGAAACAAAGTTACTTTCCAGCTTGCCATCAAGGTTCTCATTACTCTACAAAGTACTCCAAGTTCCCTACCCCACGGACGCCATGCTGTACTTCCAAGAAATTATGCCACTTTCCAACTTGACATTGAGGTTCTCATTATTCTACAAAGTGCTCCAAGTTCTCTACACCTAGTACGTCATCCTTTATTTTCAAGAACTGAAGCCACTTTCCAGCTAGACACCAAAGTTCTCAATCTACAAAGTGCTCTATGTTACCTACGCCAACCACGCCATCTGTTATTTCCAAGAAATTAAGCCAATTTCCAGCTATATATCCAGGTTCTCATTATTTTTCAAAGTCCTCCAAGTAACCCTACGCCAAGCACGCCATGCTTTATTTCCAAGAAATGAAGCCACTTTCCAGCTAGATATCCAGGTTCTCATTATTCTACAAAGTGCTTTAAGTTCTCTACCACAAGCATGCCATGCTTTATTTCCAAGAAACAAATCCACTTTCCAGCTTGACATTGAGGTTCTCATTATCTACAAAATTATCCAAGTTCTCTACGCCAAGCACACCATGCTATACTTTCAAGAAATGAAGCCACTTTCCAGCTTGACATCCAAGTTCTCATTATTCTATAAAGTGCTCCAAGTTTCCTATGACATGCATGCCATGCTTTATTGCCAAGAAATGAAGCCACTTTCCAGATTGATATCGAGGTTCTCATTACTCTACAAAGTGCTCCAAGTTCCCTACGCCAAGCACACCAACCTTTATTTCCAAGAAATAAGCCACTTTCCAGCAACACATCCAGGTTCTCCTTACTCTACAAAGTGCTCCAAGTTTCCTATGCCTAGCATGCCATCCTTTATTTCCAAGAACTGAAGC